ACACAATGAGACATCATTGTTATTCATTTTACAACCAAGGAAAACAAAGGTCAGTAAGTTTCTGTCACAGAGCTAAACCAAGTGACTCAAGTTCTTGTGACCCCTCCCCCCCCAGTCCAGTGGTCTTTGCATGTCACCATGAACAACTCACTCCTATTAGTTGAGATCTGAAATAATATTTTAGTTCCCCTGTGTATCACAGTAGACACGAAGGTGCATTCGAGAGTGCAACCAGCCTGCCATGACTAGAGAAGAGGAGGCAGTGTGAGGAACAAGGACAGTCTATTAAAATAAATAAATAAATAAAAATAATAAATCAAACTGGACAGATTAGATCTCCTGAAGAGAGAAGACCCAATGGACATAAGTAAGGTTTTACAGACCCAGGGAAGCTGGACTAGAGCTATGTAGCTACTTGTCCTACAGAGCAAAACCTCTAGAGTAGTAACTGGGCTTATCATACAGGGACAATCTATAGGTTGGCTATTGGGGCCTTTGAGAACTGGAAAAATCCTCAGTGGCAATAGAAAAATATAGCAACTGCCTAGGTAACTGGGTTTAATAGCCTAACGTATACAATGTACAGCAAACGACATGTGCAGTAGAAAGCTGCAAGTCTCATTGAGTCTCCTAACCTTTGGACTGCTTTCTCTGCAGCTTGCATATTCTCTGCCACTTCTTCCTTCTTTTCCCTACCTGCTAACCTTGAGGAACGTTTAACCATGAGGTCACACTCACACTCACCACACTCAAACATCTCCCAGGTTTTCTTCCCAAGCCAAGCTATTTTTCTTTGGTCCTATCATTATCTACCCAATATACATGACCCGTTTCTACCCACCAGGGGAAGTGTATTGTAATTTTCCCCCTCAAATTCCACATCTACCTTCTATAGGAAGGTATAGGTATCAGTAGGATCTGGGAGTATTGAAACAGAGGGCATAGGAAAGGCATTCCAGGCTAGTGAGGACACTCATGAAAGCATACAGATGAGCATGAAGGCATATGGCAAGCAGTACAGAGGCTGACCTAAGAGGCATAGAGGCTTGTGTGGGCAACTAATAAGAGGGAAAGATGCTGACTTCCCATGTGGAGCCTCAGAAGGAGGAGATTAGATTTGATTCAGTAAATAACCTAAAATGAATGAAGAGCAAAATACAAAATATATTAGGAAGATTAATCAGACTCCACAGAGCCATAGGAAATGAATAGATAACATACAGACATGTTAAGGAATAAGGGATTTTCTGGGAACCAGCAGTTAGCGTAATGGCTATGTCGCTGGACTCCCACGTAGTCTACCTTGGTTCGCGTCCTGGACGCAGTGGCTTAAAACTCACACCAGGTGCATGTGCGTGCGTGCCCAAGATCCCGAGAGGAGAATGGAGGAGAAGGGATTGTGGCGTGACCATACCCCCTGGGGGGTGATTTCTTGCTTTCTGTCTCTATGTCTCTCTCTGTCTGTCTGGCGAGCACACGCGCCCTATAGCAAAAATCTCTCCAAAAAAAAGGAAAAAAAAATAAGGGATTTTCTAAGGGCCTGGACAGGATGAGGCATGAAGAAATTAAGAAATAGTTTAGCAACCTTGATGACCAAAGAGAAAAAAAGATGGTAGAAAATGTTATTAAGCTTTGTAACTTTCTTCTGTTCCTTTTTTCATTTAAGTTTTTTGTCCTAGGGGGATTGTGCTTATAAGAGAGAGACAGACAGACAGACAGACTATGGGAGTCCAGTGCCTTAACCACCATACCACCTGCTGGCCCCTCTTCTGGTTTTCTAAAAGCAACCTTAATGCAGACCCATCGAACTGGGATCTCTGAGGGTGGTGCATGTTTTCTAAAGGTTCTGTAAACTTGCCGTAGAGAAGAACTGGCTTATGTAGCAAAGGAGACAGATTCCAGGCTCAGCACTTTTCAGTTTGCTTTCTAGTACTTCTGAGTCAACCAGAGGGTTTGGCTTATTGGTGTGTGATGATGGTAACAGCAGAAGGGGCCAGATAACTTGCCCCACCTCCCTCTGAGTTGGTCCTCTGTATGTGACTGAGAACTTCATGAAGGCCAAGGGGCAAGCACATTTTACCTTCTTTATTCCTGTCTCCCATTTGCAGCTGCCCCTCCTCAGGCATGGAACTTTATTCTCTCCCACTATTCATCTGCGAATGCATGTTAAAGTCACTCACACGTCCTTTACAGTAGTCTGACAAGTAAGCTAATAAACGTTTGTACGGTGATTTCACTTGTAGACATTTTCTGTTGTTCATACTACAACACTATGGAATAGGTAGGTCAGAGATGTCTCCATCTTATAGAAAAGGAAAGAAAGCCCCAGAGAACCTTACATCAAGATTACAGAATTACTAAGGATAGACTTTAAGTGGGGAACTTGAATACAATTTTCTCTCTGCCACTCCATTCTACATCTTGCTGTGGTATGTGCATTTCAACAGAGATCAAAGTCCCATGTTAAAGGAATGTGGTTCTATGGGGCCAGCAGGTGACGTAGTGGTTAAGGCACTGAACCCCCACCTGACCAATCGTGGTTCTAGTCTTGGACCTGGCAGCTTGAAAACTCAAACCAGGTACATGTGCGTACGTGCCCAAAATCTCAAGAGGAGAAAAGAGAAGGGATTTCAGTGTAGCAAATCCCCCTGGGGGTGATTTCTCACCTTCTCTATCTCTCTCTGTCTCTCCAGCAACTACATTTGCTCTATAGCAAAAATCTCTAAAAATAAGGAATGTGACTCTAGCTGAGGGCTTCGGACATCAGCTTGGAGATGAGGGACTAATTCATTCGGTGAAGCTCTGAATCACATTGCATAGGTTCCTGCCTTTGCCTTCGTGTTATCTGCCACTTGTGTGATCCCAGACAAGGCAAAGAAAATTGTGAGCTTCGTGTTATCTGTCTACAAAATGGAAATAACTCCCATCTCTTTTGTAGGGTTTTTCTAAGAACTTCCTGAAATATCACAATGTCCTTGCCACATAGTAAGCCTCACCTCCTCTCCCCTGTTTCTTCCCCATTTCACCCACACACAAGGCAAGTCCTACTAAGTCAAACCATGGGCTCACTCTTCTTTCTTGTGGCTCTCTGCTCTCCCTCTTAAGTCTCTTCTCTCTCCTCCAGAACCTTGTGCCAGTCCCATCTGCCTCCCTTCACTTCTCAAACTAGCCAAGCATTTTCCCTCCTCAGTCCCTTGGTACATTCTGGTTCTTTGGCCTAAACTCCATTTGCCCCACGCTTGCCTCCTTGCTCCTCCAACCTTGGTGTCAACCGAAGTATCAGTTCCTCAAGGAGGACCCAGTAACAGTAGGTTCCTCCTATTACTCTTTATCACTGGATACTATAATCTTCCTTTGTCACATTTAGTGCTGTTTGTAAGTTTATATTAATTCTATATATAGTTTCCTGGGTCACATTAATTACAGTTGGTAAGTGTATATTAATTCTATGATGGATTTTCTAGCTCAGGGTCTGTTATTGTCAGTAGACCATTGACTGTCATGGGGCAGGAATGAGATCTCTTTAGTTAGCCACTATGTTCCATTCTGTGACCCAACATAGAATTTAGACCCTAGGGCATGTTCCAAGAATATTTGTCCACTGCATGTGGGATGACTCCCCTCTTTCAGGGGACACACTCCTACAGGCTCCTCACCAATTCACTAAAGAAACCACTAAAAAGAAGCAACTGCATGGAGCCCACATCCTCAGACCTTTTCCTTAATTCTCTTTCCCCAACACTGATTCATACATTACCATAAATTGGGTTGCATGTGGTTGTTTCTTGATTCCCTAATCACATTGTCATGTTTCCGAAGGTCAAAATCCTTTCAGGATCTTTTTTTTTTTTTTAAATTTTCCATAAATCATATAACAATTAAAAATGCTATAAGTGCACACTAATTTCTTGATGAATAAAAAAATAGATCAGTCAAGCCTATTGTATCCCTTTACACAAAGAAAATCTTCACATAGCAAATATGGAGATACCATTGCAGCAAAATAGTTTATGACTACTAGCTTCCTTCTTCTTGGGTTATTATTTTGAGTTTCAATAAGAAGCAAACAGTCTTATCTTGAAAGGGAGATTGGATTTATTTTTAATAAGAAAGATAGAATTGGAAGCTTGCATTTTTTTCCCCAAAAAATTTAATAACAGCACTAGTAAAGCCCTACACTCCTCAGCTGGCCTTATTTCAACTATAAGAGAACAAAGCTTCTAGGTAAGCTTCTTTTGTGATATGAGTGAGACCAATATCACCAAACCTGTTTAACTTCATGGAGAGTCAGGAGAGGTCAAAGACCAGGGACATCTAGTCTGAGCATGTTTTCAGAATCCAGGATTGAGCAGAGGACAGGAAGGGAAATACCAGTTTTCTCAGAGCCACTGTCCTCAAACATAGAACATGGGAGGTCCTGATAGCCACAGATAACCTTGGTAAGTAAAGAAATCACTTTGCATCTCACCTTCTTTCTCCATTCGTATCTAAACAAATAAACAAAAACAAAAACAAAAATAAGTGAAAAACATGTAAGTAAACTGTGTCATGGTTATGCTTAAAGTGGTAACCTGCTGGACCGAGACTTCAATGCTTACTCTGTTATCAGTTTCCTCCAGTTGCTCACTTGATCAGTATTCTTTGGGTGATTTTAAAAACAAAATACACACACACACACACACACACACACACACACACATATACACACATATATATATATATTTTAAAAACCTATATACCTAACAATTATGTAGCAAATACTGTCTAGTTATTCATTCCTCTCTGGATTTGGCTTTGATCTTATAACATGGGGCAGGAAAAGAAGTTAAGTTATGCTTAATGCCTGATACACCAATGAAAATTTTCAAGGCTGGCATGGAATCTGTTTTTCATGCAGCCTCACTCAATCTCCTGTCTCCTCACCTCTGGTTGGCTTCATAACAATCAACAGAGCCTATAAATGACATCTACTGACGAGTGCCTTCTGTCCCCTCTCTCAGGCTGCAGCAGTCCTGAAGGTTGATGGAGGGCCATGCTATTCAAACAGCAGGCGTGGCTGAGACAGAAGCTCCTGGTGCTGGGAAGTCTTGCCGTTGGGAGTCTCCTATATCTAGTCGCCAGAGTTGGGAGCTTGGATAGGTGGGTAATTAAACACATGCTTATGCCCATTGACTTTAAGTGTCTCTTGATTTAAACTTCCTTAGGACATAATTTTAAGCCCATCCATTTGTTTTCCTTTCTCAGAATTCCCAAGAAATGTGCTTTTCTGCAATATTGATTTTGATTTATTGAGCCTTTAAAAGAAAGAGATCCAAGTTGCTCAAACCAAGGTGTTCTGTCAAGATCCATTTGTATTCTGTGTGCATTGACACTTGATTTCAGAGAAGGGATAAAGCTGTGTACACTAAAAATGTCATCTACTAGAGCTCAATGTGGTCTGTGCATCTGGAATTAACCTCTAGCCATAGCAAAACAGTGATGATGTATCTATGTATCTGTATTTTGAAATTTATGAGTAGACAACTAATGTGCTATTAGGAGCAGTAAAATTATGTATGCGCCTGTAAAGGAGCTCAAGATTGCAATCCATTGCCCTGCAAAGATGGCTGCAAGCATGGAGTTTTAACTATGGTAATTAGCCCTGGTTTTCAGGAGCTGCACATATTAGACAAGGAGACTGTCGCTCAGACTAATTGCCCAGAAAGCAATGGAAAATCCATGGAGAGGAAATTACAGCGCTAGAGTTTGGCTCTAAATAGACAAACAGTTGAGAGGTACTGGACCTGCAGAAGTCCCAGCACTAACAGCTAGCTTCACATTTAATGATTCTGGACTGTCCTACATGCAGTACAATTGACAAGGATGTAGAAGTTAATTTCTGAAATGTGAGGCTTCTTCTCTTTGCCCTTTAAAATTGATTCTCACACTGGAAATATTTAAGTCTATTATCCATGAATTTAATTCCCATTGTCAATGGAAATACAGCCACACTTTAAAATGAAAATATCTGCCTTTCGCTTTTTCTTTCCTCCCCCAATTTAAGCTAATATGTAGATCTTTCACTCAAATATTTAAAAATAATAGAGCAGTAGTCCTTATCTTCAGCCAGTGTGAAATTTGACTGATAAACCCCTTTGATGCTTTTCGATTCAAAATTCCTGATTAAACTTCCCACTCACTGGTTGTTACCTCTGGGAAAAGTATAATCAAGAGTTTATCATTGACTTTAAGTGGGTTCCTAAAGTATCACTCAGTTATTATATAAAAGACTTAAGGTGTTTCTGTTGTCCTGTGTCCATAACACAACTTTTCTGTCAATTCTTCCCAATACCCTTAATTAGTTCCTAATAAGTTACTTTGTATTGAAATATTTACTTTTTATTTATTTACTAATTGATCTAATGGCCATTAATCCATTCTGTATGGACAATAATTAATGATTCTTTTCATTTTCTTCCCAGTTTGTAGTCTCTAATGGTGGACTTTTTCCAATTTTGAAATTGACACGTGCTTACTTAGTCCATTCCTTTAGTGATGATGTCACTGCTGTAGGAAGGAGCTGAGGTTACTTCTGCTGTCCCTTCTACTCCTAAAGTTTTATGTTTTTTAGTCTCGGGTCCATGTTCAGAATCTATACCTTAGGAAGAGGGAAATATTATGATAGTTTCTCCTATCTTAACATCCTGAGTTAGGGAGTCCAAAAAGCAATTGCTCTACAGGCTGTGCTCTCCCAACGCAGAAGGTAGAAAGAAGAGGGAA